GCGTCCAATAAGATAAGTCTTATAAAATATATAGATGTATGATAATTGATACTGAGCTAACAGATGAGAATCCTAGTCATTGGCCAAGCAGCATTGTAACTAATACAAGTCTCTCTATGTATTCATTTGGGCCTAACTTGGGCAGGTGGCTGGCGTAAAGCTTACACATGGCAGTGGGGCTCAGCGGCTTTTGGCAGAAAGATTTATTGTAACATTTATTGTAACAGAGGACAGCATTATGAACTTATTTAACAGCATTGCAGATACAGTACAGTAAGTCAAGGTTTCTTTAGGTCTTCAGAATAGCATGGTGCACAAAATTCTGAAATTCACAAAATTTTATATTAGGAACACAGGATTGAAGCACTTCTTCAATATTTCAAAATAATGATTAATGTGAAGGTTGTGGTACTAAAATCAAAGGTATACAAAAAATCTTAAGGTATAATTTAAGTTTGATTATATGAAAATAAACAAATATCTCTATGGCATTTAATATCTTACATACATCATCAAGAAAAGAGAAGTATTTGATTATTTTGCAGTTAAAATTAAGTAGTGTGTGAATTCTACCCCTTGCCTAAACTTTATTCTGTGTAACATAATTAACATAATAACTCTTTGCTGTTTCTAAGTGTGCTTGCCTGCATCTTAAGTCCTGAATTCCAGTATTCTACCTTCCTGTTTGTGTTAATTTTCTCATGTATCTTAAACAAATTTTGATCATTAATTTGTGTAATTTACCTATAATGACATGGACAAGTAATCCCAACTATTCAACAGTCTCCTTTAGAATGAGAAACACGATCTAATTTAGTGTAGGTGTCATCGAGCCCAGAGAAAACAAATTACATCAGAGTGAGGAGTGTAATTACTTAACAAATAAATGGCCCTCAGCTGACAGAGTAGGTATCTAAGAATGGTCTCTTCTTCACTACATCAATTATAGGTAAGCTGAGTGAAAAGCTTCTAGCTTTATGGAGAATGGTATCCAGAATAGATTAATGGCATTCAATTTAAAACCATCAGTTTATCCAGTCAATCAATACAAAAATCATGCATATGCTGGAACAGATAAACATTTCTTAATGTTTTTCTCAGTCTTGCCTCTAATTGTTATATATACTTAGGATAGATAGTAAATTACCTTTCTTTTCTCAGGGTAGAAAGTGCTTTGGTTCAACTTAAGTTGAGAAACAGGTGGGTGTCAGTTAAGAGGTCTGAGTAATCTATAGGGCCTCAGTATTTATCCCTAGTACACGAATGGATTTTGGGAGCCCATTCCCCATAGAGGAATACTCTCTCTTCCTAGTCACACAGGGGAGGGTCTAGGCCCTGCTCCACGTGATATGACAGACTGTGGAAATCCCCCATGGAAGTCCTCACTCTCCCTGTGGAGCAGAAAAGGGATGGACTAGGGGGCCGATGGGAGAAAGGGGAGGGGAGGTTGGGAGGGCGAGGGAACTGGGATTGACTTGTAAAACAAACGTTTCTAATTTAAATAAAATATGAAAAAATTAAAACACACACAAAAAGAGAGAAACAGGTAATTAAGTGACCTCAGTTAAATATGTGTGTGTGGACAAAGGCTGTGATAAATAGTTGTCATAGGTATAGGGGAATGGAGGAGAGTCCCACAGATAAACAGGAAATTGTCTATTACACTCAAATCAACATTAATAAACATCATGCTCATATGGTAATTCATTATTTTTAATCCCCCAGAATTTAGGTTTCAATCTGAATTTTTATAGAAAAGTGATTTTACCTTAAGTTTTGTTTTTTCTTTAATAATGAGTACATTTAAGATATAGGTGTACTTGTGCATGACATTTGTAATCAAAGTATAAAGTTTTAATTAGGAAGAATGTGAAGGAACTCTCAACTGTAATTCATATACAAAAAGCAAGATCATCTAGCTTTATATAGAGAAGAAACGGCAAGCACAGATGATTTCATGAATCTGTTATAGTCATTGAGTATTGGGTTTTATTTTTAGTTTATATCTGCATGTTTTACTGTGTGGTGTCTCCATGGATCTGTGTAGGTCTGTTCATAAATGTATGGACTCTTAACTGGGTGTGGATGCATGGGCATTTGTGGGAACATGCCTGTGGAGGATTGAGGCTAATGTCCAAACACTAGATTGTGCCCTGGATACCCATGGTCTACCTCTTGAATGTCAAAATTACAGATAGGATGCTAAACTCACACTACATTAGCTGGGGTGCTTTGCTACTCCGTTCTTTATTCTTGCCATAGCAAGCTCTTTACCCACAGGGATGTTTCATTACTCCCTGATGACTTTATATAACTTAAAACTGAACAGGTCATTTGAAAGAAGCAAGTTACAACACATTCTAAATGTTCCAAATGATAATTTGATAGATTATCTTGCAGTACTTAATTATTCTGATGATGCCAATTATTTAACGATATGGAGAACATTTATAAAATTATATGAAATGATAGAAAATCTATTGTGCTTGTAACACAATATACTTAATTCCAGCTTCCATCACCCCCTTCTTTAATTATAACTGGAATACTGCAAATGACATTGGTTTCAGCATGATTGATTACCCATCATACATTAAGTTGTATTTCAGGCATCAATCATTCTTTTTTAACTGTTCATCTATTTTGTGCTACTGTAACACCTAATGAAAAATCTCATAGCACTTGTTGCACTGTATATGTATTCTGGGCAGTCTCTACTGCTTCTGGAATATCACTTTAGGAAATGCTTTTTATTGTGTCTTTCATATTTGAAGATTCAGTATACAACAAAATGCCTAACACTGTTTTCAACATCTAAGAGATTAATCTACTGAATGAAATAGCATCTTGAAAGTACACAGCTCTCCAAGAAGGTCCTGGGTTTTGGGCAAGTAAGGCCTCCCTTGCTGCTGCATTTCTGAGTGATTCTAGTGAGCATAGGAGAAGCAACACATTTCTTCATCAGGTGAGTCCTAGAAAAATAATTATGAAAACCTCACAGATAGTGGAACCCATAGTGCATTTACTCCACTGTGATTTTTGTCATGGTCCAGAACACAAGACAAAAAATAGAATCCAATGTATAGAAAAATATATTATGAACCTTAACTTATATGATAGCTCTCTCTTTCAACTATTGGCAATTTATAATCTGCACCTTCTGCATAAATTCAAATACATATTCCACGTGTCTATATGCTATGTCTTACTGATTTGTCTCACTCCCGTAAAGAAAGATAATAGTAAATTTATAGGTTCTATTATATGACAACTTACTTATATTCCATGTTCACATTTTAACAATAAGGTTATTACTGTCTCAAATGAATAGACAACACAACTGAAATATACAAAGGGCATATAAGTAATAAACAGAAATATAAGGTTTCAGTCTAAGTCTGTGAACACAACAGGTAATACATACATACTCCATGGACACAGATCTTTTGTTGGTCATTGAATTTCCTTAAACAAACCTTGAAGCTTTCAGAATTTGTCCCATGCCATGGCTGGCTTTGGATCCACAAATTATTTTGTTCTGTTCATATCTCTTTTTGGTGATGTAATGCTTAGTGTGACATTCTAATACCCTATTTTCCCCTCAAGAATTCCACCACAATTTTATGATGCTAAGTGAACTATTAAGTTTCGTCAAGTGAAATTATACACAATGAGATAAAGCTATGAGCAAAATGCTACATATATTGACCATTGAGTGATTTATTGCAGGTTAAGTATACCAACTTTCTGATCTAAAGGTCTCTCTACTTAGGTTATGGAAAATAAAAATTTTAAAATGATTGATAGATTATCTGAGGTCCTAGAAATAAGTCACAACATTTTTAAAGAAAATTAAGCTAGGGTTTCTTAAGAGTTTGAGCTTAAAAATAAAGGGGTCTACACCAGGCTGATGAAACCCACAGAAACAGCTGACCTGAACAAGGGAGAGCTCTTGGTACCCAGATTGATAGCTGGGAAACCAATATGGGACTTATGCAGACCCCCAGAATGTGGGTATCAGTGAGGAGACCTTGGAAATCTTTGGGACCTCTTGTAGTAGATCAGTACTTATCCGTAGCATAGGAATGGACTTTGGGAGCCCATCCGCATGGAGGGATACTCCCTGAGCCTTGTCCCTGAGCCTAGACACAAGGGGGTTGGCCTAGGCCCTAGTCCAAAGAATAAGACAGACTTTGAAGATTCCCTGTTGAAGGCCTCACCTTCCCTAGGGAGCAGAAAGGGTATGGGATAGGTAGGGTGTTATTTGGGGGGCAGGAGAGGAGGGGAGGGAAAGGGACCTAGGATTGACATGTAAAATAATTTTCTTTCTAATTAAAATAAAAAGATTAAAATATAAAAATAAAGACATTTTGAAGCAGATCATCTAAGCCTCTATGATCCACACAAACTTTCACTACATTTGGCCACTTTTTGTAACAACCCTTTGTCTACCTTCTATACAAGAAAATGTCCTCACTTTGGTTCTCTTTTCCACATTAGAGATATATTCTTATTTGCTCCATAAACTATATTCCCAGAAAAATAGAATTCAAGGACCTAGAAATAAGTGTGCTAACTGAAACTCCCTGTAATAATTTGAGTTGGCTGCACATCAGACTTCTTTGATCTCTCTACAGTAAAGGGAGTGTACACAAGCCTTGAATCAGCTCCAGTGACCACAGCACAGAAAAATAGTTGAAACTGATCTTACTGTGGCTATGCCAAGGAATGGGGATGTTTTAAGTATACCGTCTTCAGCACTGCATTCCATAATCCATCAAACCAATTGAAGCATTTTAAAGTAATATAGGATTTGATAATAAAAATGACCATGTTTCCAAATATTTATTTACTGTACCTACTCCAAGCCAGGCCAGTGATGAGTACCTCAGTTTTTTAATATTAGTTTGTGGACCATATTTATAGTTCCATTGTAGGATAAAAGTCTTCTGAAGTGGTAAGCTGACATAGTCACATTCCTCTATCAAATTAGATAACTAAATAAACCCTTCAGTAACCATTCAGTGTATACCTTGCTTATCATGGTAAATTCTTCAATAGTAGAGTTCATACTAATATCCCCATACTAAATGTGCATTTAGGAGATGTATACAACCAACACTTGATTCTGTCCAACACACCACTAGTTTAATATTTTGATAGCAAACTTAAAGATCCTCTTTTAATATCAGTGGTAATTGTGGCTAAAAATAAAGAGAGTGAGGGGACTTTTTGCAGCTGAATATATATTCTCTTGTGATACTATATGGCTTAATATTCAACTTCAAAAATGGAGCAATAGAAAATGAATATGATTCAGAAGTTTCACTCTATTAGTTTTTGCTAATATCTTAATTAACATCAGCCAGGAGGTTTATACCCAAGTAGAAGAACACCCCTCAATTTCTAGTTTCCATATGCCATCTCATATTTGTTCCAACTCCTTTCATTCAAGTGACAGACCCTCTTCTGATGAAAGTTTGACCCAGAAGTAGTTTTCTTTGGGGAAATGATATTCTAACAGCTTCACATTTCACATAAATAGCAAATATTTGGTTGTCTCTTCATAGAAATTCTGGTTCCTTTGAGCATTCATAGAGAGACATATTTTACATAGCTCTCCATGATCAAGTCTTTCATTTTTTTCTTTTGAGCTTACTTCATGAGTGGCCATCAAATACTTCAAAAGTTTACCCAGGATAATAAAATCATAATATCATCAGGTATTTAAGAAAATAGTCTTTTGCAAAACACTTATTTTTAGTTCACAAGAAAAATCTTCACAGAATGATTTTAATAAAATAAGTCAGGGGTCAGAATGTAAGGTTGGTACTATAGATACAAGGACTACAGAAGCACAGTTCCTATGAGGGAGATCATGGAGAACATATAATGTCCCCAGTATAAGTTGAATCAGTGGAAATGAAACCCCAATTTTTCTTTTTCGACTCTTGTGTCTTGCTAGTATCTCACACAGTCTAAGCCAGTTGTGTACCAGACAACAACATAGATCTTGCAAATGGTCCTTAGCAATTACTTCTCCATGATCCTAAGCAAACTGACAAAAGGCAAAGAGCAAGGTCAGAGAAGACATGTAAGTACTGCTACACAATGTAAATCCTAAGTTTTTACACATCCAGCACATGAAATCAATAGTACTGAGCAGGAGGGGTCAAACAATCCAGAAAAAGAAAATATAAAGTAGAAGGTGATTTGGATTAACACACACACACACACACACACACACACACACACACACACACTGGGTCCTTAATACAATATAACTGCATGGTTTGGCATTTGGTATGATCAACCTTGTGGTTTGTCATCTGCATCCACCAGAGACATGCTCCCTCATGCATTTAAAGTCTGCCATATACTGCTTTGGAGAAATTTTTCCCACTGTAGAGTAAAGAAAAAACGACACCAAATGACAAGAGAATCTCAAAAGTGCAATAAATAAATGAATGAAGAGTCAGTAAACCTTCCATCTCTGAGCCACCCTTGTTTCTCGAATCAATCTTATTTTTTTATTATCAGAAACATTGAGATGGATACTCATCCATCCAGGTGGAACAGTGCTGAGGCAAAATTAAAGCTGAAAATCAAAGGATAAATGAACTGGGTTGACATCTCAGAAGCACATGGACCACAAAACTACCCTAGCTGTTCTGGGTCTACTGTATATCCCAACTGTTAAGATAATAAATTTTTGCTACTTTTGGTACAAAAAAAAATGTTATTTTCAGCAATTGTCATCACAAAACTTCTGTTGAACTCTGAGGATAACTGAAGCATAAAAATACATAACTACAAAAATGGATAGAAAGTTCATCTTCTTTTATTTTCTTTTTTAAAACCTCAAGAGTGTGTTCTTTAATGTAAAAAGATTACAACCATGTAAGTAAAATATCACAATGTATCATGCTAGTTACTCTAGTCATATAATTTTAATATGTATATACATGTGGTAAATTACTTATAGATTTTTCAAGATCATACAATGATGTGTTAACACATGCTATTTGGTTTGTGATAAATGATGTAATCATGTGGCTGTTAAGATTTTTATTGACTGTCACATAGAGAATAAGGAAGTTACAAACATATGAAATAGCAAGCACTCTTTTATAACTGTTGTCTTATATCCCTGGGGAGATACAGAAATTTGTGTTCTGTGCTCCTCAACACAAGGGCAATGCTCTATGTGAGTTTTGTATATAAATAAATGAAGGTAATATCATTATAAGGGAAGCATGCTATGGAATTCTCTCAGAATTCGTACCACTTTAATGATCATTTCACACAGCTGCAGAGCAATCAAACGCAGAAGCACTCAATAGATTGGCAAAACATATCTGTTTCCAAAATTACAAAATTTATTTGATGAAATGATCTCTTCTCTTGAGGATTTACTGGCATAAAGCAATATCCTGAACATTTTAGACATACATCATCACAGCCAGGATGCACAAGGAAGACGAATTTCCAGAGGGAAATAATATTTTCAAAAATCAGTGGTAACTGATAAAGGGAGTCTCTAGAAGTCAAGAAAGTTGCATGTGGGTGTTTTAGTGTGCTGTGAGCACCGAGACACTTTAAATACCAAAAATGTGCTTTTTTCTTCTTGGTTATCATAGGAATACAGATTTATTTTTTATCTGGTTACAAAGTATAATACCTGATGTCATGTACTGAATATAAATGCAGAGGATGTATGCTCTTAGCTTTATTTAAAAATTATAAAATGCATTTAAATACTAGATACAAAGTACCATAATAAATATGTTTTGTTTGTCTATCTTGATCTATCTGGACAGTGTTAAATTAGATACCACCGTTGGGAAGGCACTGGGTAGAGACCACGGATAAAAAGACAGGGTAACATTCCATTGCCATCATAAGGGACATATAACAAAATATTCCCTCTTGAATTAGTAGCAGTCACAGCTGATGAGAATTTAG